CGATTTTTTATTAAAAATTTTCGCCTGCGGCGCTTTATATTCTAAAAATCGATACTTCCATAAATAATGAACATTTTTATTAAAACATCGCTTTTTATTATAAAATCGATACTTCGATAAATTATGCAACTTTTTAATCAAAAATCGACCAATAAATAATTAAATTTTTTTTTAAATATCGCGCGATCATTATCTGCATTTTTTTAATGCTTCCGTTTTGAGTTTTTGAGGCATTTTTTCATATGTATGGCAGCACTAACATTTCACTTCAATTGGTGTACAAAGCAAAAGGTGAGGTTAAATTCGGTATTTTTTGCAACTTTAAATGCGAAATACTTTAAAACTATAAGCCTCCGGAGGGTGGGGTCTTCAGATTTAGAATCTGAAAAAGCTCCTCTATACTCCCTAATATTTTTTTTTTTCAAAGCCTGGATCCGTTTTGGAAAATTTTCCCGATTTGTTTTTCTAGTAATGGTGGACGCTACTTGTGCATAACACTGTTACAAGAACACATATTACGTTATATTTTAAATTACTTTCCGCGTAATGGTTTTATGTTGCGCATAGTGCACTGTGCAGACGCAGACCGCGCTAATCAGGAAAAGAGTGTCGACAATCCAGAAGTTATGGCAATGCCAGTTTTTCTTGTTGTTGCTACCAAATTTAAGGCCTTACCAATACCGGTGTGTTCTGCCGTATTCTTTGTTGTTTTCTTAAATAATAAAATGAATTTCTGAAGATCCTAGAATTTAGCTTGGGTAAGGACAAAATGCAACGTTTATCAAACGCTGAAGAACTTACAAATGCAGTTGCTGCTGTGCAAAAAGCGGCACTAACTTGTAATGGACTCGCACGTACAAATATTGCTGGTTAGTAAAATGTGTTTGTCAATTGTGAATATACATATGTATGTATGTAGCTAAAACTTCTGCTGGTTTCTAGGTCACAACGAGGTTGTGATGGACTTATGCCAACCGGGCGAATCAAATCCCCGCTACACAGTACATGTACTAGGCCAACCACCGACAAGGGGGTTGGGTAAATTTGCTGCCTTTATAGTACCTCAGGGCAGGTAAATAAAAATAATTTTCCACTTAATTTTATACATAAGTATATGTACATACAGCACATTTGCTGCAAACTCGATAAAAACGGCATTAAAATTTTGAACATACATATGTATGTATGTATGTTGAACATACATATATACTCCCATAGCATGATTCAATAAAAGAAAGATTTTGTAATAAAACAGTTGGGGTGTTCACAGTTCGTTCCAAATAGTGTCTGAAAATGTAGACGTCTACATTTTAAGACGTTTTCTAACCGTAAAATCTGTGGTGTTGTTGTTTCCCATACAAAATTGGAAAACGACGCCGTCTACATTTTGTCACACTCAAAGGTATGTTTTTTACGCGTCTACATTTTGCAACCTCGCAGCAGGGTTGCATTATGGAAATACTAATCACATTTTTTTTATTTATTGGGCACGTTTTTTGTATTTGCATTTAATTTGAGCGCAATTTCTGATGAAAAGAAACAAATCAAGGAAAAGAAATAACAAATATTAGGAATTGGTAATTAAGTTAAATAATTACAATTTTTCAGAAACAAAATCGAAAGGCAATATATAAAAAATGCACGCAAAGAGGAAATGTCTGGCAACACCAGCAAAGTTTTGAGACGATTTTGCGACGACTGCTAGAAAGGGGTGCTCACAGTTTGATGCTAAAGATGTCTCAAAATGTAGACGTCTACATTTTCAGACACAATTTGGAACGAACTGTGAACACCCCAAGTATTCTCGCTCCCACACATAAAATCGGCTCCTTTACTTGTGCGGAATGTTGCTGACTATAGTTTTTAGTCATATTGGTAGTAAAACCTAAAGTTCTTCATACTGTTACGATTATCCTCGAAACCTTGAGGGATTTCCCAAATATACTCGGGCTCGTATCGCTGGATTGTTAAATAAATGCTAACGATGACCGAATTGTAGTACAATTAACTTTATTGTACAACAAACAATTTACAATACTTGCTAATACAGTAAAAACACTTTACAATACTTGTTAAAGCAATAACAATGCTTTACTACTTGTTAACACAATTAAACTTATAGCTTGCTTATTCGCAACTCGATTCTCCGCTCACTTTACTTGTAGCTTGCTGAATTGTAACTGTCTCCACTCCGCTGTGTCGTGGCTCTTATATACCTGCGCTCACACTTTTGGCAACTCTAGAACGTTCGCTCATTCTCTTTCTCTCGCTGTTCGCAGTGTTCATCCAACTTGACGTTTCTCTTTGTGGAACATTCTACGTCATTCCTCGAACATTCTGCCTATTTCTCGTTGTTCGCTTTGTGTTGCCGCAGTATTCGCCACACTGCCCTCCACCTAAGTCTGATCGTCCCGATCAGACACACTTGCGGTTCCAAACGCTGCAAGCCTTTCCAAGTGGACCACTTTCATCTTGGTCCTCGGTCTCCCCATTGTCTGGATTTGATGCACTGCGTCCTTCAGCCGCTTGTCAATCTTCGAATCTTTCCAGTCACGTCTTTGCTTGGAGTTGAAGCTTTTCTTCTGCTGCGGCATGTGCAGCAACACCGACTCACCTTCCTGTAGCTCTTCTCGGCTCGATGCGTTACTGGACATTGCTTCCAGCTTATCTCCGGTGGTGCACCATCTCACATGGTCGTGCTTCTGCCGGCCACTGGTGGTGACCAGACCATGTCTCTTCTCGTGGGCACCCTTTTCGCCAGATCTATGCCGCATCATCTGTCCATGACACCCTGACTCCCGCCTTCGTGCTGCACTGCCTTTAGCACATCTTGCTACATCCGGATCCTTACGCTGAAACTTCTGCCGTCGTTTCGTATCTCACTCTTCCGCCGATGCTAACTTCATTGACCGGACATGTATAATCTCAACCTTAGCTTCCGGCTTAACTGCTCGCCTTTGCCGGCCACCTTTTCCGGGACACTTCAAAGCGCGCCTACTGCTTTCACAGCCGCTTCCATTTCCGGCCACCGGCGTATCACCATTGCAACGTGGTTCAGTGGCTTTCCTCCTGCCGGAAACACTGCCTGGCTCGCCATGACCTCTACCTTGTTGCGACCTTTTCTTCACTGAGCTAGCGGAACCGTCACGCTTTTCCTGTATCGGTGAACCGCTTCCTTCTCCAGACGAAACCACTCCGTCTCCATCACTGCCAACCTCCGCCCAACTAATCGCTTCCGTTTCTGGTGGAATCTTCGACACTTCCTCTAAGACTAACCGTCTGCTGCAGCACTGGCTGTCGTAACCAACCCTAAGTGGCACTTTCCTGTGACGATCTGTCAGGATCATTCTCTGGAGGTCAATCTTCATGCCTTGCCCAAGTAGGAAATCCACGCCGATGATGACTTCATCCACAATGTCTGCGACAATAAACTTCGTGTACGAGGCCAACCCGTCGATTATTACCTCGCATAGTACTTCTCC